AAATTGGGAACAATGAAGAAATACAGATCTGAGTGATGGCAGTGCAACGTACAAAGATTAAATATTTTCAAAAAGGCAGAGTGGAATGAATTGAAGTAGTTCTATTCCAATGTAGGAACACCTGGGAGGCAATGGAACTAAACTTACTGGCACAAAACAAGCATTCCAACGAGACAAACTGTCAAGTATGCAAAGCAAACGGAGAAAAATTATTTTAAGGTTATAGAGTCATAGAGCTGTATAGCACAGGAAGAGACCCTTTGCTCCAACTCATCCAATACCGACCAGGTAGCCTAAATTATTCTAATCCCATGAGCCAGCATTTGGCCCATATTCCTCTAAACCTTTCCTATTCATGTACCCATCCAGATGCCCCTTAAATGTTATAAATTGTACCAGCCTCCACCACTTCCCCAGGCAGATCATTCCATACACACACACCACCCTTTGAGTGAAAAAGTTGCCCCTTAGGTCCCTTTTAAATCTTTCCCCTCTCATCTTAAACTTATGCCCTCTGGTTTTGGACTCCACCACGCCAGGGAAAGACCTTGTCTATTTACCCTATCCACGCTCCTCATTATTTTATAAAGTTCTATAAGGTCACCCCTCAGCCTCTGATGCTCCAGGGAAAATAGCCCCAGCCTATTCAACATCTCTCTAATTAAAAAGGAGTGTTCACACCATGAATAGACTAGACAGTCATAAACATTTAAGGTGTTGCTACTTGTCCTTGCAACTCAAGACAGTGCAACTGTTTACATCATATATGAATGACTTGTTGGAAGGAAGCAGATATACTGTAGCCAAACTTACAGATGACAAAATAAGTGGAAAGGCAAATTGTGAGGGGGATACAAACAGTTGACAAAGAGATACTTATAGGTTAAGCAAGTGGGCAAAAAGTTGGCAAATGTATAATAAAGTGGGAAAATATGAAATTGCTCATTTTCAAAGGGAGAACAAAAATAACAGAATATTATTTAATGGAGGAAAAACCACAACACAAAGGGACTTGGTATTTGTGTGAAACACAAAGTTAGCACACAGGTGCCACAGGTAATTAGGAAAGCTCATGGCATGTTGTCCCATACATAATCATGGAGTCAGTAAGACAGCACAGAAACAGGCTCTTCGGTCCAACCAGTCCATGGCAACCATAATCCCAAACTAAACTAGTCCCACCTGCCTGTGCTTGGCTCATATCTCTCCAAACGTTTCTTATATATGTACTTATCCAAATGTCTTTCAAATGTTCTAACTGTACATACATCCAATTCCTCTGGAAGTTTATTCCATACATGAACCACTCTGTAAAAAAATTCCCCCCCACATTTTTTTTAAAATCTTTCTCCTCTCACCTTAAAAAATACTCCCCCTCGTCTTGTAATCCCCCACCCTGGGGAAAAGACATCTGCCATTCACCTTATCTACACCCCTCATGATTTTACAAACCTCTAAAGTCACCCCTTAACCTCCTAGGCTCCAATGAAAAATGTCCCAGGTAGGTGAGCACTTTGGTGATAGTGTCTACAATTCGGTTACGTTTACTTTAGCGATGGAAAGGGATCGGTATATACCGCAGGGCAAGAGTTATAGCTGGGGGAAAGGCAATTATGAGGCGATTAGGCAAGATTTATGATGCATTGGATGGAGAAGGAAACTGCAGGGACTGGGCACAATTGAAATGTGGAGCTTGTTCAAGGAACAGCTACTGCGTGTCCTTGAGAAGTATGTACCTGTCGGGAGGAAGTGGTCGAGCGAGGGAACCATGGTTTACTTAAGAAGTTGAATCTCTTGTCAAGAGGAAGAAGGAGGCTTATGTAGAGATGAGGCGTGAAGGCTCAGTTAGGGCGCTTGAGAGTTACAAGACAGCCAGGAAGGACCTAAAGAGAGAGCTAAGAAGAGCCAGGAGGGGACATGAGAAGTCTTTAGCAGGTAGGATCAAGGAAAACCCTAAAGCTTTCTGTAGGTTTGTCAGGAATAAAAGAATGACTAGAGTAAGATTAGGGCCAGTCAAGGACAGTAGTGGGAAGTTGTGCGTGGAGTCCAAAGAGATAAGGGAGGCGCTAAATGAATATTTTTCGTCAGTATTCACACAGGAAAAAGACAATGTTGTCGAGGAGAATACTGAGATACAGGCTATTAGACTAGACGGGATTGAGGTTCATAAGGAGGAGGTGTTAGCAATTCTGGAAAGTGTGAAAATAAATAAGTCCCCTGGGCCGGATGGGATTTATCCTAGGATTCTCTGGGAAGCTAGGGAGGAGATTGCAGAGCCTTTGGCTTTGATCTTTATGTCGTCATTGTCTACAGGTATAGTGCCAGAAGACTGGAGGATAGCAAATATTGTCTCCTTGTTCAAGAAGGGGAGTAGAGACAACCCTGGTAATTATAGACCAGTGAGCCTTACTTCGGTTGTGGGTCAAGTATTATAAAGGATTATAAGAGATAGGATTTATAATCATCTAGAAAGGAATAATTTGATTAGGGATAGTCAACACAGTTTTTAAGAGATGGGTAGGTCATGCCTCACAAACCTTATTGAGTTCTTTGAGAAGGTGACCAAACAGGTGGACGAGGGTAAAGCGGTTGATGTGGTGTATATGGATTTCAGTAAAGCATTTGATAAGGTTCCCCACGGTAGGCTATTGCAGAAAATACGGAGGCATGGGATTGAGGGTGATTTAGCGGTTTGGATCAGAAATTGGCTAGCTGTAAGAAGATAGAGGGTGGTGGTTGATGGGAAATGTTCATCCTGGAGTTCAGTTACTAGTGGTGTACCGCAAGGATCTGTTTTGGGGCCACTGCTGTTTGTCATTTTTATAAATGACCTGGATGAGGGCGTAGAAGGATGGGTTAGTAAATTTGCGGATGACACTAAAGCCGGTGGAGTTGTGGATAGTGCGGAAGGCTGTTGCAGGTTACAGAGGGACATAGATAAGGTGCAGAGCTGGGATGAGAGGTGGCAAATGGAGTTTAATGCGGAAGAGTGTGAGGTGATTCACTTTGGAAGGAGCAACAGGAATACAGAATACTGGGCTAATGGTAAGATTCTTGGTAGTGTGGATGAGCAGAGAAATCTCGGTGTCCATGTGCATAGATCACTGAAAGTTGCAACCGAGGTTGATAGGGTTGTTAAGGAGGAGTACTGGGTGTTAGGTTTTATTGGTAGAGGGATTGAGTTTCGGAGCCATGAGGTCATGTTGCAGCTGTACAAAACTCTGGTGAGGCAGCACTTGGAGTATTGCGTACAGTTCTGGTTGCCGCATTATAGGAAGGATGTGGAAGCATTGGAAAGGGTGCAGAGGAGATTTACCAGGATGTTGCCTGGTATGGAGGGAAGGTCTTATGAGGAAAGGCTGAGGGACTTGAGGCTGTTTTCATCAGAGAGAAGAAGGTTAAGAGGTGACTTAATAGAGACATACAAGATGATCAGAGGATTAGATAGGGTGGAGAGTGAGAGCCTTTTTCCTCGGATGGTGATGGCTAGTACGAGGGGACATAGCTTTAACTTGAGGGGTGATAGATATAGGACAGATGTCAGAGGTAGGTTCTTTACTCACAGAGTAGTAAGGGCGTGGAATGCAACTGTAGTAGACTCGCCAACTTTAAGGGCATTTAAATGGTCATTGGATAAACATATGGATGATAATGGCATAGTACAGGTTAGATGGGCTTCAGATTGGTTTCACAGGTTGCTGCAACATCGAGGGCCGAAGGGCCTGTACTGCGCTGTAATGTTCTATGTTCTATCAAGCCTCTCCTTGTAACTCAAACGCTCCATTCCCAGCAACATTCTGGTAAATCTTTTCTGAACCCTCTCCAGCTTATTAATATCCTTCCTATAACAGGGTGACCAGAACTGCACACAATATATATAAAGAGGGTTGGAGGATAAGAGTAGGGAAGTCTTGCTGCACTGTCCAAGGTGCTGGGTGAGACTACACTGTGGAGTACTGAGAGCAGTTTTGGTTCATTATTGAAAGGAAATATATCATTTCATTGCAGACAGTTCAGAGAAGGTTCACTAGGATGATTCCTGGTGTGGAGGGATTGTCTCATGAACAAAAGCTAAACAGATTAGGCCTCTACTCACTGGAGTTTAAAAGAATGAGAGGCAATCTCACTGAAACATTAAGGATTCTTAACTGGCTTGGAATGGTAAATGCTAAGAGGATGTTTCCTTTCAGAGAGAATCTAAGACCAGAGCGTATAGTCTCAGACTAAAGGGGTGCCAATTTAAGACTGAGATGAGGAGGGATTTCTGCTCTCAGTGGGTTGAGTGTCTTTGGAACTCCTTGCCACAGAAAGCTGTGGGGACAGAGTCCTTGTGTATATTTAAGGTTGAGATAGACCGATTCTTGATCAGTTGGGGAATCAAGGGGTACGGGGAAAGGGCAGGAAAGTGGATACGAGGAATGCCAGACTCGCTACAATCCCACTGAATAGTGGAGCAGAGACGAGGGGCCGAATGGCCTACTCCTGTTCCTATTTCATACGGTCTTGCGGTCTTAAGATAACTTGTATAGGTTTTGTTATCGCTCCAATGTTTTACTACATTTGCTCCATTTTAGATGGAGTGGAAATTAAATCAAGCAAATAAAAGGATACAAAACAAGGATGAATGGATCAGAGCAAGAGTCATTTTTCAATTTAACTTCAAATAATTGATAATTATTGATTTATCGTTATTTGAATTAAATACAGGATCAGAATAAAAGAAGCTGTACTGGAACAAAGAACAACTGCAGATTTTCTGAAAGTTTATCATTTTCATATATCAGGCACTCCCTTTACAGTTTAAGGGCCACCACCACCATCCATATCTAACCTTCCTGGCGTTTATCCGGAAATACAACTTGCAAATTACATTAACGGCCATTAGGTTAGAGGGCTATGTCCTAATCAAATTGTCTAGTACATTGATGAAGTGATTATGCAGAATTCAAAAAAAGACAAAACAGCTATCCTGGTGACTGTGGACCCACACAAACACTCACCATATTGGGAATCATGGCTGCTCGCTGCTGTAGTTGCTGGATATCCATCTGAACTGGTTTCATGGCTGAAGTCATCAACACGGAGCCGAGAGGTTTCAGCAATGACGATTTCGATTCCGGAGAAAACATTCTAGAGCAGAAATTAACTCTTTGAACAACATCACCCACAGTTGGTTCAAGATACATACTTTTATCATCAAGCATCTTCTACGAAAATCTGTGAATATTCCCATCAAAGATGATAGAGAAGAGCTACGTGACACTACAGAGCAATACAAGTACAAACACAAATCCTTAAGGACTGTATTAATTCTAAGATACCTTTCTATCTCATTTCTTAATCATAAACAAAACAGGAAAATCAGAACACAAAATTCACAGACAGGTAAATTTATATAAAAGGAGGCCAAAGGCAAAATTCCAGAGCAAAGGCAGCACTATGTGGACAGATGCACCTCAGGAAATGATGTAAAACAGAAGAAAGGTCATTTTAAGGAAATCATTTGTAACTATTACTAGTTCAGCGAGACTGCAACGGTTCTTTACTAGGAGGTAACCACTTGTATTGATGCTTTAGCATGATCCATGTAGTGAAAATAATGGCCAGGAGTCAAAGTACAATTATGAATGCACACAAATCATTCCAAACTAAATGGCAAGCTAGATGCATTAATAACTATAAATGCAAAATGATATGCAAGTACAATGTTGATAAGACTTTGATTTGCATAGGCTTGGGAACTTCAAATTCAGACGATTACAGTACAGGAGGCAGCCATTTGCCTCAGCATGTCTGCAGTCAACAAAAATCTGACTATACTAATCTTTTTACCGTTCACTTGTGGAATGTGGGCATCTCTGGCTCGGTCAGCATTTATTGCCCTATCCTAGTTGCCCTTGACAAAGTGGTGGTGAGCCTCCTTCCTGAGACCACTACAAAGCATTTGCTGTAGGTAGATCTACAATGCCATTAGGGAGGGAGTTCCAGGATTTGAATCCAGTGACACTGAAGGAACAGAGATATATTATCTCGTCAAGATGGAGTGACTTGAAGGGGAATTTGCAGGTTTCTGGTCAATGGTCAGTCCCAGAACATTGATGGTGGGGTTTCAGCGATGGGAAAACCATTGAATCTCAAGGAGTGGTAATCAGATTGGCACTTATTGGAAATGCTCATTGCCTGGCATTCGTGTCAGGCAAATGTTACTTGCTATTGTCAGCCCAAGCTTGGAAATTGTCCAGATCTTGTTGCAACTGGACTTGCACTTCTTCATCAACTGTGCAGTCATGAATAATGCTAAACATTGTATAATCATCGGCGGCCATCACCACATCTGCCCTTACGATGGAGGGAAGGGAAGGTCATTAATGAAGCAGCTGAAGATGGTTGGGCCGAGAGGAACTCCTGCAGAGATGTCCTGGAGCTGAGATGGCTGACCAACAACCACAAGCATCATCCTATGTACTAGGAATGACTCCAACCATCAGAGCACTTTCCCCCTAATTCCCATTGTTTCCGACTTTGCTCGGGCTCCTTGATGCCACACACAGTCAAATGCAGCCTTGATATCAAGGGCTGTCACTCTAACCCCATCTCTGGGAATCAGCTCTTGCATCCATTTTTGACACCATTACAGCCTTGGTTCAACAGCTGAGCAGCTCTGACTGAACCCAAATTGGGCACCAACAAACAGGTTATTGTTGAGCAGGTGCTACTTGATGATCAAGAGTAGAATTATGGGGCCGGGTTAGATTTGTCTTGATTTTTTTGTGTGCTGAACATACCTGTGTAATTTTACATATTGGTGGGTAGATGCCACTGTTGATGCTGTACTATAACAGCTTGGCTAGGGATGCGGCAAGTCATTGAGTCATAGAGTCCTTTAGCATGGAGACAGGCCCTTTGGCCCAAATGGATCCATGCCGACCAAAATGTCCATCCACACTAACCCCACTTCCCTGCACTTAGCCCATATGCTTCTAAACCTTTCCTATTCATGCACTGATCCAAATGCCTTTAAACGTTCTTATTGTACCTGCCTCAACCACTTCAGCTGGGAGCTCATTCCATATGCATACCACCCTCTGTGTAAAAACGTTGCACCTCAGGTTCCTATATATTCTTTCCCTTCTTACCTTAAATCAATGCCCTCTAGTCCTCGATTTCCCAACTCTGGGACAAAGACTGGGTGCATTCACCTTATCCAGACCTCTCATGATCTTACACACTTCTATAAATTCCCCCTTCAGTCTCCTATGCTTGTCCAACCTCTCCCTATAACTTAGCCCCTTGAGTTCTGGCAAAATCCTTGTAAATTTCTTCTGCACTCTTTCCAGTTTAATAACATCCTTCCTATAGTAAGGTGACCAAAGCTGAACACAATACTCCACGTGCAGCCTCACCAACGTCCTGTACAACTGCAACATAACTTCCCAACTTCTGTACTCAATGCTCTGACTGATGAAGGCCAGTGCGCCAAAAGCCTTCTTCACTGCCCTGTTGACCTGTGACTTCACTTTCAGAGAACTGTACACTTGTGCTCCAACGTCTCTCTGTTCCACTATACTTCTTAAGGCCATACCATTCACCATGAAACGCCTTCTTTGATTTTACTTTCCAAAACGCAAAACCTCACACTTACCTATATTAAACTCCATTTGCCACTTCTCAGCCCACTTCCCAGCTGATCAAAATCCTGCTGCAATTTCTAATAACCTTCCTCACTGTCCAAGTTATTGCTTATTTTAGTGTCATCTGCAAACTTACTGACCACGCCTTGTAAATTCTCATCCAAATCATTGATATAGATAACAAACAGCAATGGGCCTAGCACTGAACCCTGAGGGACACCACAAGTCACAGGCCTCCAGTCTGACAAACATCCTTCCACTATTACCCATTCCTACGATCAAGCCAACTGTGTATCCAATTTGCCAGCTCTCCCTGGGTTCCATGCGATCTAATCTCCCAGAGCAGTCTACCATGTGGAACCTTATCAAAGGCCTTACTGAAATCCATATATACTACACCTACTGCCCTACCCTAGTCAACCTTCCTGGTCACTTCATCAAAGAAATCTAACAAATTTGTGACATTTGATCTCCCACGCGCAAAGTCTTCAGTACTATTGCTGGAATGTTGTCAGGGCTCGTAGTGTTTGCAATATCCAGTTCTTCCAATCTTTCCTTGATATGATGTGGACTGAATCAAATTGGCTGAAGACTGGCATCTGTGATGACAAGGACCTCTGGAGGGGGCCAAGCTGGATCATCCACTTAGCACCTTTAACTGATGACAGTTGCAAATGCTTCAACCTTATCTTTTGCACTGATATTTTACATCATTCAGGATGGGAATATTTGTGGATGCTCCTCTTCCAATGAGTTGCTTGCCTTCCACCATTCACAACCACCAAAGAAAAATCATGTAGCGTGCCTCAATGACTATTGGCCGGCTTCGAGAAGTTAGTCATGGCTCACATCAACTCCAGCCTACCACATTGTCTCAATCCTTTACAATTTACCTGAACACACAACAGAACCACAGCAGATGCTATTTCCGTGGCCCTACGCAGGAGCATCTGGACAAGGATTCTTACGTCAGGCTCCTAATTACTGACTACAGTTCACCTTCAACACCATAATTCCAAACAAACTCATCTCTAAACTCCAAGGCCTCGATCTTGGCTTCCCCTTCTGTAACTGGATCCTCGACTTACTGACCCATAGACTGCAATCAATAAGAATAGGTGACAACACCTCCTCCACCATAATCCTCAACACCGGTGCACTCCAAGGCTATGTACTCAGCCCCCTCCTATACTCCTTATACACTCACCAACGTGTGGCCAAATTCTGCCCCAACTCCATTTACAAGTTTGGTGACAACATCACTGTGGTAGGTTGGATCTCAAACAACAAAACAGAATACAGGAAAGAGATTGAGTGCTTAGTGGCATGGTGTAAATTCAACAATCTCTCCATCAACGTCAGCAAAACAATGGAGCTGGTCATTAACTTCAGGAAGCAGAGTCGGGGGGCACACCACTGTTTGCATCAATGGTGCTGAGGTGAAAAAACCCAACAGCATCAAGTTTCTGGAAGTGATGATTACCAACAATCAGTCCTGCCTGGTCCACCCACGTCAACAGCATGGTCAAGAAAGCACAAAAATATCTGTACTTCCTCAGGAGGCTAAGGAAATGTGGCAATGACTCTTACCAATTTTTATAGATACACCACAGAAAACACCCTATCTGGATGCATCACAGCATGATTTGGCAACTGCTCTTTCCAAGACCACAAGAAACTACAGAAACATGAATACAGCCCAGTCCATTACGCAAATGAACCTCCATCCATTGACTCTGTTTTCCTGAGGAAGCAGGAAGTATAATCATCATCAAGATCCCTCCCACCCTGGTAATACTCTCTTCCATCTTCTTCCTTTGGGCAGAAGATATAAAAGTTGGAGTACACGTGTGAATAGATACAAGAACAGTTTCTCCACTGTTGTTAAGAGACTTCTGTACGGACCTCTCAAATGTTAATGTTGATCTCACTCTCTGCATCTACTCTGCGGCTAGGCCTCCTCCAGAGGTCCTTGCCATCACAGATGCCTGTCTTCAGCCAATTTGATTCAGTCCACATCATATCAAGGAAATGTTGGAAGAACTGGATACTGCAAACACTATGAACCCAGTATGGTGCACTCTGTTCTGCTACTCTGATGCAGTTTGTATTGTACAATCTGCCTGTGGAGCACGCAAAACATCACTTTTCACTGTAACTTGGCACACGTGACAACAATAAATCAATACATCAATATAACTGGACAGGGTAGACCTGAAGAGGTTAGATCTAATCCACTGGTTGTGGGATCACTTAGATGTGTCTATCACTTGCTGCTTATGCTGTTTGGCATGTAAGTAGCCCTGTTTGGTAGCTTCACCAGGTTGACACCTCATCTTCAGGTACGGTTGGTGCTTCTGGCATACCGTCCTGCACTCTTCACTGATTCAAGGTTGATCCCCTGGCTTGATGGTAATGGTAGAGTGGAGGACATACCAAGCTATGAAGTTGTAGATTGTGTTGGAGTATGATCCTGCCCCTGCTGATGGCCCACAGTGC